AAGAGGATTGCATTAAGCTCTCTCCTGAATGTGGACTGTCTCTTATACACATCTAGATGTGTATAAGAGACAGCCCCCGAACAGGGCGTATCATTGGCCGGGGTCAGAGGGCCCACCCAGTGTGTTGCAGGTTGTAAACAGCAATCTGTGGCTGCAATGTAAGCAACCAGGCTTTGTATCATGCATGTACTATTCTCCATCATGCACATTCTTCGCCAGATACACTGCATCGGCCCTGGATTCTGACAGCGTCCCAATTCCGACTGCTGCTACAGAACTACAAAACCACAAAACTACAGAACAACAAACCTACAAAACTAGCTCTACTACCTCGTTCTCGTCATGTGATGGACCGAGCAACAAGATGACTGCGAGCAGTTTTGATGACCATAAAAAGTTGTTGAAGTTCTTACAGGTCATGGGTTTTCAACAGACAGCAGCCACGAGTTCGACCATCGATGTCATTACCTTTTTTTTTTTTTTTTTTTATTATTATTTTTTAATATCCTGGATTAGCCGGGACGCTCGGGTCACCTTGTTTTCCCGGGCGGCCCGGCCGTGCAACGACCAGGGAAGGTCCCAGCAAAAAAAAAAAAAAAAAAAGTAAAAAAAAGAATCCAAAAAATCCGAAAAAAACTTTGAAAAAGTATAAAAAACTAGGTTATGCAGAAACATAAACTGAACAACTTTTGCCTCAGGGTCACATCGAAATTCTTACCAAATTTAAATTAAAAAAAAAAAAACATTTCAAATTTTAATTGTTTTCTTGGCATGGCCAGGCAAGTGGTCCCTTGCCACTCTGGTAGCCTAGGTCCTGGCCTGTTTTTTTTGGTTTGCGGCGGGAACTGATGCCATTGTACGTGCTGCTTCCGAGAGAAGTGTCTTTTGAGAAGTCTCTCGTGAGTCTAGGAATGTTGCCTTCATTCTTGCTTCAGTGTGAGGGGCCCGATGTGCGGTCCTGAAGCACCCGCAGGTGCTGCGATTGCAAAATGGATCTTTGCTTGGCGATTACAACGAGGGGAGGTCACACTCCGTCAAATCTTTATGAGCGAGCATGTGGTTTTCACACCCGTTCGATGGAGATTCGAGTGGGGTTTATGCGGCCCCATTATTTCGATGGATCTATTAAAATATATGAAACTCAACACTCGTTCCCCATTTCTGCTTGCTTGCTTGTGGTTTGTGTCCCAGGTCAATGTGCGCACCAGAGACAACGTGGTCCATGGGACAAAGAGTCTGGAGCAATTTCTGCAGCAACTGGAAAGCGAAGTCGCTGCTTTCCACTGACAGTCGGACATGAGAAAAGTTTTGGCAAGATTTGCGTTGGTGGGAGTAAGTGCGGGCCATGTAGAGAGGAAGAGAGGGAGGGAGAGAGAGAGGGAGAGAGGGAGAGGGAGAGAGGGAGAGAACTGAAGTCGCTTGTTTCCACTGACAGTCGGACATGAGAAAAGTTTTGGCAAGATCCACTTTGGTGGGAGTAAGTGCGCGCCATGGAGAGAGGGGGAGAGGGAGAGAGAGAGCGAGAGAGGGAGAGAGGGAGGGAGGG